TAGATTATTCGATGAACCAGGATTCAGTAACCAATCTCTTTCTCTCTCCACCTGCCTACCTATATTACATTTCAGAATTTAAGCCCTCTCTCATCCTATTGTGTTGTGCTGTATTAATGTATGCAGTGCGATTGCTGAGCTTCTTTTTTCTAAATTACTTATCTTCACAGGGTCAACCATTCTTACATTCTAAATTATTTTTAATAAAAATCCGAATAAATTTGCTGAAGAAGCTGTGGCTTACACAGTGAAACGTTCAGAAAAATCTTGTTCTGATTTTCTTAAACACGTTGGGATTAATTTAAATAATTTATAATGAACCAATATGACTCGGCGCTCAAATTATTCCAGGAAGTTCGTAACACCTACGGTCTGCAAACTTATAACATTCTTACCTTAGCTAAATTCTTATGTTCCGACAATCTGACTACCCCCCGACCTACTAGTTTGACCTATATAGTTGACTTAACTCACAGTCATTGCAAAGTATTTTGTAAATTATATCATTTTGTTTGATTGGGTCAACCGACAGAGTTCTTTAGCCTACAGAGCTTGTCCCTGCTTGAGTGGGTTTGTAGGTTTAAATGCCACTACCCTAATTCCTGCTTTGTTAAGAATCCTACGTAGGAAGGATTTCAGGCGTCCCCTCCTTATATGGTAAAATTGTGGATGCTTTTATTTTCTTATTTACGTTATTATTATTAGTTTCACAGTTATTTTTATTTTGCTTTTGACCTTTTCTGATCTTTCTAATGAATTTTATAGGATAGTTAGTTAGTTAACACCAACCAGCTATTCTTCTATCTCTTATATTTCATCATGAAGGTCTTTTTTGCACTACTTAGTACTCTGTTTTAGCAACCTATTAAAAGTTATGGATTTTAATGGACAGTAAGCCAACGGAAACAGTTGTCTGTGTGTCCAATACTCCAGTGCTGGTTTTCAATGGTTCTTTTACCTGAATAAGTCAATTTTTAAAATCTGAGGAAACCCTATTATGTTTGTAATAAAGAAAGAACATACACACACATAGGCACTCACACTTATACAATGACCGAACAGCTAACTAAGAAACTAAACACACCTGGAAGAATTATGTACATTAACTCTATTTTATTTGGTAGCCTATAATTATAATTATTTATTGATTTTAATGACTATTTAAAAATATTCAAACTTCAAAAAATTCAAATTTCATAAACATGGGATTTTGTTAAGAGAACAAAGCATATGATGTACAATATCGTACGAGTATACGTTCGCGTGCGTGCATGTGTGTGTCTAGACACGTGCAAAAGTACTATTTCAATTAAAAATTAAATTATATCAATTCTTAAACTTTCATCGATTATATACACACGTACATACATACACTATAGAATGCGAGTGAGAATAAAAGAATGAAATTTGAAAAAATCAATATAACATCACATGATGAACTTAATTAACGGTTAGTTAGTTAACTTGAAAAGAAAGTTGACATGAATTGAAATAATTTGACTATGGCAAGCAATAAAAGAAAGAGAAAAATTGATCTTAAATAGAAAAAATCAATTTAATCTTGTGCATGCATGCATGCATGTATGTTTGTGTGTGTGTGTGTGTTTGCGTATGTTTTGCTTTCAAAAGATGCTTAGAATGTCTAAAAGAAGGTAGGCATATACAAATTGCATATTCTACCGTTGTGATTAAAAGAATTTTTTTTAATAAAAAAAACATCTGTTAGAATTTCATCATAAGCTGACATCTCGATTAGAGAACTATTGCAAAATACCAACAGGGAGTTACTGGAGAGCCGGCTGTTTCGTGTCAGCCTAGTTTGGGACTCTTCAATATTACGTACACACCCACCCACCAGGTTTCATACCCATGACCAAACTAGGCTGACGAAACAACTGGCTGTCCGGTACCCCCTCATGGTTTTCAAATGGTTCTCTAACCAATATCAGCTCATGATGAAATCTTGAAACCAATCAAATCAAATCCCAGCAAACCAACAACACCTGGACAAGTTAGAATCATGAGAAGAGAAGGCTGGACGTCAGCGTCTTCACCTTCTTCACTAATTTTACCAAAACTTTCTTGATTGTCTTGTAAAAAGACAAACTGACGAGAAACTAAAGTTTACCATATACAGAAAGCCGACACATTCCAACAAGTATTTGAATTTCCAATCAGGTTATCCAACAGGAATGAAAGTTTCAGTAGCTTTAAATCTCGCTAACAGAGCTAGAAACATTATAACAACAGATAACGATGATGGCATGAAGAACGAGATCTCCAATATAAAACAGGTTTTGATTGGAAATGGTTATCCTGAAAAGCTACTAAATAATATTATCAATAAAAAGGAGCAGAAGGGAAAACAAAAAATTGAAAAATCTTGGCTATCGATCGACGATAGCCATTCCATATCGAAAGGAGACAGCTGAACAACTTCAAAGACTACTTGCTTCATATAATATTAAAGTCTATGTCAAACCTTCTAATTCTCTGGAGAAAGCGTTGGTGCATGTCAAAGATATAGTTCCCAGGATGTCACAAAGTAATTGTGTCTGCAGGATGAAGTGTTCAGAATGTGAAGCATGCTATATAGAGGAGAGCAGTAGGCAGGTGAAGGTCAGAGTGAATGAACATAGACTATGCACGAAACGTCCACCTAGAAATCAACTAGAATTAAAAAGTCTAGAAAAAAGATCGGCTATAGCAATGCATGCGATAGACAACGGACATAAGATTGATTTCGACAATGTCGAAATTCTTGGAACAGGATTTCATTCACATAAAGAAAGATTGACTTCTGAAGCCTTGCACATTTTAACCACATCGAATGCAGTGAATAGGAAAGAAGGAATAGACTTATCACCTATATGGCAAACTCTTATAAAGCAAGACAGATGAGAAAAAACACTTTATGAGCCTCCATGATCTTTACAAAAAAATGTATTATCATGTTTATCACATGTGAATTCACGTACTTTCCATATGACAACACACTCACACACAATCCTACCGACAAATATACACAATAACATTATGACATTAGTCATTACAAATATATGTGATGACTGCTTACATATTTCTATTGTTAGAAATGTCCACGGACAAATGACCTTCAAATAAACTGACTTCAATTTATGTAAAAAAATTTTGACTATATATTTTGATGATTATTAAAAATCCGAATAAATCTGCTGAAGAAGCTGTGGCAGCTTACACAGCGAAACGTTCAGAAAACAGATCTTGTTTTGATTTTCTTAATACGCTGGGATTAATTTAAATAATTTATAATGAATCAATCTGACTCGGCGTTCAAATTATTCTAGGACGCATTCGTAACACCTACGGTCTGGAAACTTATAATTCTAAGCTCTAGCTTGAAGCCGTTCTATATATATTCCACTAGAAACGTAAATAACAATTTATTATTTTAAATAATCCAAAAGAACTTATAACTCCATTATATGTTATCAAACGACGTTATAGCTGAGTCAGTCTGTCAGTCAAACACAAAAATAACATTTATTGACATAGATGATAAGTTATTGATTTCACGTCTATGATGCATCAGTCGAACCAGTAAAACAAATATTCTTTCAAAATGATCACGTGATGAAAAATGGAGACCGATTTTATCGAGCGTAATGAACTCCATCAAAACACAACAGTCAATAAAAAAAAATATATATTTTCATATAGGAGAAGACATTGCGAGGTGGTCGCGCTATGTTGTGAATTGGCAGAAGTTCGAATTCATGGACTGGCTGGCCACTGGATTGCTCGGGTCCCAGTGGCTGATAATGAATGGTCTACGAGCTCCCTAGCCTTGTAACCAGAAGATCCTGAGTTCGAACTGGCTGTGGTAGGTGCGTACTGCCAAAGAGGTAGTCCCATACTAGGCTGACGAAGCAGCTGGCAGGCTGTCCAATACTCCCTAGTGGTTCTCTAACCGATGTCAGCTCAAGATGAAATAGCTATCCCGAAAAATTAATCAAAAAACACATGACAAAGAAAGCACGAAAAGGACTACTCACTGTCTGTAAATAAGAAGCCACTTTATATACGACTATAATTCAAGGGCGATATACCAAGTGAGATAATAACGAAGAAATTAAGAAAATCAGTTCAAAGAACTTTTAATGCTGGCGGCGAACTACACGTATTATTCTCTACACGACTGATGGTGCTACCTCGATTGAAAGATGAAGTACCTAGACTAGAATAGCCACTTCAAATTGTATCTACCAATTCTACTGCTCTCCTGTGGTGGAGCGAGTTATATTGGCCGTTGCTCTAGGAACTTGATTTTTTCTGCTCGAGAACATATCCCACTATGGCTAAGTAAAGATGTAGTGAAAACCATCAACAGTTCGATATTGGATCATCTGGTACAAACCGGCCACAAAGCCAGCCAGCATTGAAGAATCCTTCTCTATCGTCTACTGGGTGCCTAATAAATTGCCGAAATCATCATCGAAGCACCGCATACTCCAAACAGCAGAGGCTATTGCAATTCGCCTCAAACAACTAGTGCTCTGTGTTCAAAAGAAACAAGTCCAGCTAGCCACTACTACTGCCCTGGCTGGCCTTCAGTAGAGACTAGAAATTCATGAATTTATAATATTATCTTTACTAATTTTTCGGACATTCAGCTTATTGTTATGTTGATGATATTGAGCTGTAATCTACTGATATTATTGATTCGATGTTATTTAAACAACATTAATGTTGTTCATAACACTAATTCATTCATTCATTCACTATAATGTATATATAACTGTAGAGGCTGATGATGAAGGGGTTATTGAAAAGAGTATTCTTTGTTCCGTGTCTATTCTTTTGAAAATTTTAATGGAAATTTTTAATCAGTCAAGGTGAAATCCTCAAATAAATCAATCGAAAAAAGTTATGTAATTCAACATAATTCATTTCAGGGAAAGAAAAATATGCAAGCTATTTCAAAAACAGAAAAGAAAAAAAGAAAATAAATGAAGTGAGACTTACAGAGTATATGTACCACGGAAGCATTGATCATAATGTTGATGTCGTAGTTTATATAAGTTGATGGCGGAGAAATTATTGCCTGACGATTGTGTAGAAGACAATAGACTATTTGGACTATTTGACGCAAGATAATATAATGTTGTATTGATTGCTTTTGGATTGACAACTCCAGGAGCATATGAATGACTGATAGTCACACCTGATGTCCATAACTTATTGTATGTTAAAGAGAAAAAAGAGGAGAAAGTGCACAGGTAGGTAGGTGACTAGGTGTGTTCACTATTACACTTAAAATAAAACACAAAAGTCAAAACTAATAACAGAAGGTCGAGTGTGAGGAAAAATACTCGCAGGGCGATAATATTGAATATAATATCGTCAAGTGACATTGGATCGGTCGAGTCCCAGTGGCTTAATGGTTCACAAGCTCGCTAGCCTTGTAACCAGAAGGTTCCAGGTTCGAAGCAGAGTCAGTCCCAAACTGGGAGGAAACATCTTGAATTGACGGACCGTTGGTTATTGATATGGAATGAAAATGTAGGTGGTGGCGGCGGTGGTAGGACTCGAACCATCAGCCACTGGAATTGAATTACTCGTTCGCTTGTCTACCAGTTGACCTATGATGTCATCTTAACTGCAATTATCATTAGTCACAAATGAACCGTGAACATTGGAAGGAAACGATGAGATCCAATTAGAAGTTGGATCGCGTAGCACAGCTACCTGGTAGATACAGTAAGACTGGTGATTCGGATACCGCTGATTTGACCTAGATTACAGAAAGTCCTCACATGATCTAATAATTTAGAACACATACACGTTAGCAATGGGGTTTTTTGTTGTGTAACTTCTCTACAGAGCTGTACAGTTAATTTAGCGACTTATATGTATGACAAAGTCTAAAGTTTATATTGTTCAATTAGTAACAAAAATAAATCAAAGTATATGAGGAATAAAAATCCGTGAAACACAGTGAATAATCTAATGTAATCGAGAGAAAGAGAGAGAGGGGTGACATCTAATTAGTTAGGTGATCAATAGTCGGCCATTGGGAATAATCGATCGATAATAAGTCCTTATATGTTGCATAATAAAATCTAAGCAGCATTTTGATTTCTTTTTGATTTTTCAAACCAATTTTCCATTCATTGTTCTCTTGTTATCCATTTTTCTTAGATTTCTAGTCGAGCAATGGGTACCCTCAAAGGTTCATCAACAAGTATGGAATATCTGAAGTCACAAATGTAAAACAAATCACAGTAGGAGAAAAGCCAATCTACTTTAAGCCTGATTGTTAAGGTGAAAAAATTGAAGCGATGATCAATAGAAGGCTGAGTACATCACTAGCCAGAGCCTTTCCTGAAGCTAAGCTTGTCCCCGTCTATCGAACAACTTGCTATTTCGTGCAATCAAAAATCGATAGATATCCCTCTTATGTTAACTCCGACTGTATATACAAATTTACATGTATCTGCGGGAGCAGTTACATTGGAAGGACAGAAAGAAGGGCATATCTACGATTTTTTGAACATGTACCAAAATGATTATGTCTAAAAGAAACAAATGCTTTAAACAGTGCCATCGGCAGGCATGTCCACAACATGGATTATGAGTCGTTCAAAATTATCAATAGGCAGAAGAGCTTAGTTCTCCTCAAGTTTGTTGAAGCTATTTTCATCAAGCGCCTCAAACCCGATTTGTCCGTTCAGAAAGAAACAGTTATCAGTTTCTTTGCCCCGGTAACTGGATATTTTTTCATGTCTCTTTCATCTGAATGCGTAATGCTGAAAAGTTTCCATTGTGTATGATTATTATTGTTCGGAATAGTGTTTAATATTGCATATATATGTGTATATATTATTACTGTATGCGTATATTGATCGACTGATTTATTGTTTAAAATGAACTCTGTGCAAGTATGTTAAAATAGTTTTTGTAGATATATTTAATAATGACTTTGCCGTGTAAGCAGCTGACGAGAAGGCAACGAAATAAACGATGGTACCACTTTATTCTGCTAAAACTGTAGTTCTGAATATTCCTCAGCAGACTAATTAGTTGTCACCTCTCTCTCTTTCTCGATTACGTGAGACTATTCACCACGTTGACTTATTTTCGACACTACAACCACTGTAAGGAATTCATATGATTTCAAATCCCAAATAGAACACCTAGAAATTGGTAATGAAGACATTATGGTAAACTGTGATATTAACTCATTCTAAACTAGTATCCCTATTACCGAAAGTCTTGATATCATGTCCAGTCTACTAGAATCAGATACAACGCTATCACAAAGATGTCCACTGGATACCAGTGAAATAATTGTGAAGCTTGAAATTCTGTCTACAAAGTAATTATTTTACATTCAAAAGAGAATTTATATAGACAGACAAATGGTGTTGCTATGGGTTCACCAGTTTCCCCAATATAGTCGCTGATCTTTTCATGCATAGATTCGAAAATAACATCTTTTCAAGCATACTCACGCCTAAGATATGGTTAAGATATGTAGATGATGATACTTTTGTAGTGCTAAAATGGGATCTACACAGTTCATTCTTGGAAAAACTTAACAATCTATCTCCCAACATCCAGTTAACTTCGGAAGCGGGAAAAATCAAACTTCGGTGAATTACCATTTCCACACTGCCCAGTTAATAGGAGGGAAAACGGATATTTCAGTATGTGTCTATATTCAGAGCAGGGGCGTCAGACGATTTCAGAAGAGGAGTCCTCAATAAATACAATATCGCAATATTCTTCAAAACATCAGACACACACACAACCACACTAGAAAGCAACCTTGTCCATGGGAAAGACCAAATCCCTAAGGATTCTCAATCTAATTGTGTCTACAAAAACAAAACTATTACAATGTGATGCGATATACTTCGGGCGAACCTCATCAGAGAGAAATCTAGGTAATCAGAAGAAATGGACATTGTAGATTGAGTGTCTGTCCGACCACCGAGAAATCCAGTTAGTGAACTAGAAAAGCTTGAAAAATCATCAGCCATATGTCATCTACACTCTAAGCTATGGAATCAGGTCATGAAAATGATTTTGACAATATTCAAATAATGCCGAAGGATTTCAGAAATCACAAAGAATATCTAATATATTGGAAGCACTTCACATCAAATGGAATCCAAATTGTGTGAGCTGAATAGGAATGATGTAGTAAAACAGAATTTGACCTTGTTACAACACCTGCGACGCCCATGAAATGATAAAATCAACACGAATGTGATAAGCAATTTCATTATGTAAACACACACGCTGTTTTTGTATAATTTTTTACGCTTATCAAATCCAACAGTCTACACCTGGTTTTGTTATCTTAACCAAATTGGTCGAATTGACAACAACGCAAAAATGACTCCATGATGAGGAACGATGATTAAGTTGTTGTATAATGCAAGCTAAGTGGATTTTGTAAATTGTGGTTTAATAATATAGGAATAAAACTTGTGCACTGTGGTAGAGTGTAATTCCATTATGGGTAAATTTTGTTTTGATAAAGTCTCACAGTGTTATACAGTAATGTTTATTGCTCATAGTCATATCAAGGTAATCACACGACTTCCTAAATTCATTTATATAGTTCCATTGTTTTTCACTTGATTTGATTGGTAGTAATATTTCCCTACGTAGGATTCTAAATAAAGCAGGAATTAAGGTGGCATTTAAACCTACAAACTCACTCAGAGACAATCTCTGTAGGCTAAAAGACCCGGTGGACCCAATTAAACAAAATAATATAATTTACAAAATACCTTGCAAAGACTGTGAGTTAGGTAAGCTTCAAGCCACCAGCTTGAAGCCCTATGTTCCACTGGTGAACGTGAAGGAAAAAAAAGTATTTTCCATATTTCGGGTATGAGTGATGATTCATTCCTATTGCATGTGTTGGGTGCAGATTCGATGAACAGAGATTCAGTAATCAACCTCTCTCTCCACCTACCTAGATTACTTTTTAGCATTTTAACCCTCTCCCACTCTATTGTGTGGTTGTGTGTTAATGCATGCATTGCAATTGCCGAGCTTTTTTCTAAATTACTTATCTTCTCTGGGTCAACCATTCTTACTTTAGCTAAATTCTTATGTTCTGACAATCTGACTACCCCCGACCTACTAGTTTGACCTATGTAGTTGACCTCACAGTCATTGCAGGGTATTTTGTAAATTATATTATTTTGTTTAATTGGGTCCACCGGGTCTTTTAGCCTACAGAGATTGTCTCTGAGTGAGTTTGTAGGTTTAAATGCCACCTTAATTCCTGCTTTATTTAGAATCCTACGTAGGATCTCTACGTAGGAAAATATTACTACCAATCAAATCAAGTGAAAAACAACGGAACTATATAAATGAAGTTAGGAAGTCGTGTGATTACCTTGATATGATTATGAGCAATAAATTGTGCTCGAAACGTCATCAGTAAACATTACTGTATAACACTGTGAGACTTTATCAAAACAAAATTTACCCATAATGGTTTAATAAAACTATTACTTAGTAGGATCAGCATTAAATAGCGAAGCGTGAGTAAAAAAAACAACGATATCGTTTTGTTTTTCATTCACACTAGGAAAAAAAAACCTAATTATTTCACGTATTTGAAGTAAAGTTAAAAAAGAAACCTCGCTCTCTCTCTGTTGATTTCTGCGTTCTTATTAATTTCTCGAAAGTAGCTTACATCTCGACAGTGTCAATCGGATACACTGATTACGGATAATGATACGGATACCCCAAGTGATTCAGATAGCCTGTATGGTGTCTCATATAATCATAGTTGATATTGTGTGTCTACTCAAGGTCAATCGATCAGTAGTCGTCTTCTGAACGGCAGATCTAAATTACTCCATTAGAACTGTCTTATGATCGCTTAGAATTGAGCATAACACTATTTATAGTGACTGTTAATTTATTAAAGGGTACTTTAGTGTAGTGTGTACCACACCTACACTAACCACATGGAGTAGAGAGTGCAGAACCATATTGTGCTGAAGGACTGGTGTCTCTTTCAGCTGACTTTTAGTTTAAGGATGGATAGGCAGGGAAATGGTTGAGTGATTTGACAACTTTACTCCTTCTGAAAGTTGAATCATCCTCTAGGGATTTCATTGATGACAACATCTCAGCACGAATACAGAAGAGATTCATGAGGTATTTGCTAACTTCAATCATTTTTTGTGTAGGCGTTATAACC